GCGGGGAGGGGGCAAGGATGCCGGCACATCCATTCAGACTGCTTCTGACCATGGACACCCTGCCCCTACTGTGGTTTTCAGGGCTTTGTGTACACTGTGCTGCCCTGTGCCCATAGCCTGCCAGCATGTAGAACTGTGTGTATGTGCACTTGTGTATGTGTGCATGTATTTATGTATGTGTGGGTGTGCGTGCGCGTGCGTGGGTGTGAGTGATTGCATGGCTCTCACCTGCCGTTTGAAGATTCTCTGCAGCAGCCCTTTCTTCGGCGGCTCTGGAGGGCGGCTTCTGTTCAGGTCTGGTGACAGGGTCCCGTTCGGTCCAAACACGTTCAGTTCTTTGAAGCATTCGGTTTCTATCATCTGCAGGAGCAAGGCCCACATTCAGAGTCCTCAGGGCCAATCCTCCACCTGAGGTCCTCTGGGTTTGCCCCTCCATTTTACAAGGTGGGGCCAGCCTTCTGCTCCCCCACTCTGCCACCACGAGGGAACACAGAAACCTCCTGGGCAGGGTGCACATTCCTGCCACCTGATGATCACAACTCCCCCATCACACTCCCATCCACAGCCACCTGATCACACCCACCTAGTCCATACTCTCCCCACCCACAGTCACCTGGTCACAACTTCCCCATCACACTCCCATCCACATCCCCCAGATCACACCCACCTAGTCCATACTCTCCCCACCCACAACCACCTGATCACAACTCCCCTATCACACTCCCATCCACAGCCACCAGATGACACCCACCTAGTCCATACTCTCCCCATCCACATCCCCCAGATCACACCCCCCTAGCCCATACTCTCCCCATCCAGAGCCATCTGATCACACCCACCTGATCCACATCCCACCAGATCCACACCCTGTCTGGTTCACTTTCCACCTGGTGACATCTTACCTTAACCATAGTCTACCTAGTGTATACCCCATTTGGTCCTCCTTCCTCATCTGTAGGATGGCAGGCTATGTCAACCCCACCCCCAGAACCCAACTCTCACCTGTCACAGGACCTCACACATCCCTCCAGCAAACTTCCCAAGGAGTCACCTGTACAGGTCATGTCTCCTTCTGACTCCCTCTCAGCTTGCTGCCGCTGGGACCCCCCCACCCACTGCTGCCTCATGGCCCAGCCCCACAGCCACATGCCTTCACTGTTGCCACAACCCCAGTGTGCCCCACGCACCTCGTTCTGCCAGGGGATGGGCACGGAGCCCGTGGAGAACTTGGAGTAGAAGTCGTCGTCTGTGTGGTCCAGGTTGACGCCCTTCACGGTGGAAAACTGCTCGATGTCCAGCACGTCCTTACAGTAGACTGCACGGGGCTGCGGCCGGCACAGGGCAGAGAGCTTGGTCACAGGCCTGATGGCCCTCCGGAGAACCTGAGCTGCCCTCGGCAGATGGCACCAGGCATGCCCACCCGAGGTGTCTAGACTCCCTGCCCATCACCTCACTGGCCACCCCACGGCCAAGTGGGGAGACAGAGTACACCCCCCCCACACACACTCCTCGGTGCTTCCAGGGAGCCATCAGCCCCCTGGAGAAGATGTAGTGACCCCATAGTTAAGCCCACCTAGTGTCTCCACCGAGAGACCCAAGGAAGCCCTATGGGGCTGTTCCACTCATTCACGGTCAGTGCGAGCCAGGGCCGCCAGCACCTGCAGCGACCACAGCACATCTATACGGAAGGTTGCCGAGAACCAGAGCCACCTCCATGGGGGTACACTCAGGTGCTTGGACCCTCTCCTTGCCAGAGCGTGAAGGGCGGTGGGGGCTGCTGGCTTAGCAGCCAGGCTGGGCAACCACAGGCCTGGGACCCCAGCTCTGCCCCTCCGGGCCTCAGCTTCCTCACCTGCAGGGTGGGGGTGAGAAAAGTCCCTGCTCTACTTTGGGGAGTAGCGAGTGGGGTCTTGACAGCTTGGGAACAGTCACCTCGGTGCCACTGTGGGTTTCTCCCCGGGCAGGGGACAGCAGAGAGCAGGAACACTGGGTCCAATAATCGGACCGACTCCGGGAGAGAGGACAGGAAGACTGGGCGGCACAGTGGGGTGGAGGCTGGGCTGGGGTCTTGAGAGCTCACTGAACAACCACTTAAGGGGCAGCTCTTGGTCTACATGTGGTCTGACGGCCTAGTGGACAGTGAAAACATCCGTATCCACCACCTGAGGCCAGGGCTAGAAGGGGCCCCGCTGCCAGCAGCTCTGAAAAGGACGGTGTTGGACAGTCCTGGGTAGAGGGCAGTAAAATGTGGAGCAAGACTTGAACTCTGGAAAGAGACCGGTAGAACCCCAGGACTCTGGCCCTTAGTCACCCTTCAGGTCTGGAAGGGAACTCACCGCCGTGTGGCAGAGGAATCACCCACCGAAGGACAAGAGGGCAGCATTCCCCCAGGACAGCATTCCCAGGGTCAGGAAAGGAGGATGGAAGCAGGAACTCAGGGAAGCAGTGGACTAAGAGACGGTCCAATGAGCGACTGTGATGGAGGAGTGGCAACCAAACACGAGGGAACTGACTGCTGACGGTAAACCGCTGAGCTGCTCTGTAAATGTTGCCTGGCCTCTGGGCATGAGCTGCTGCCATTATGGTGGTGAGTGACCTTGAACCTCCCTGTCCACTGGCATGCATGGGCAGGGCCTTCCCTCCACCATGGCTCACTGAGATGACCTTACTGGGTTTTGCCCTCAGGGTTTGGGATTGGGGAGGGCCAGCACCCCAGGGCTGTGGGGGCTCGAGGCATTCACAGAGGAGGACTCCAGGGCAGAGGTCACCTCTCTGGCCCCCTCTATCCTTGTGCCCCAGCCCTTGGCCCAGCGCCTAGCACAGAGCTAATATGAAGGTCAACATGTGAGGATCAGGGTCCTGTGGCTCAGAAGACTCCGGAGCTTTCTAGGGCTCCCAGGTCCTGCTTTCTGGAGTCCAGGTACCTGTGGGCAGCGGCCCCAACTATGCCTGGCTGAGCAGGGAACAGT